GGCTGCTGCTGTATAAATGACACATACAAGTGCCTGGCTCTGGATACATCATTTATTTCTACTGGTTACTGATGACCCTTCACAACTTACTCTTGCCTCTTGCATATTTTCTGGACCATCGTGGCAACAACATCACTTCATCACCAACACCACCATTATCACGTGCTGCTATTCTCAGGTCTTTGCCTCATTTCATGGATAGGTTGGATGTGCAAAAAAACAACACTGAGACTGCATGGAGAACTGACTCTCTCATGTCCTAACCACATACATGTTTGACTGCAACCAAAATAACATACTTTGAATATATTTTTAGTATACCTGTTCAGATTCAGGCCTGTCCTTGAGGTTGAACATTAAAATAGCCCTTTTGAATTCAGTGGGACTATTTGTAGAGTGACGTGCAACTCAGCATAAATAAAGTCATCCTCACATGATCCAGAAGGACCTGAGCGTGGTCCCCAAACACATATGGTTAGCATGCTTTTCAAACAAGGAACAGTCCATTCCCTGGATTGTGAATTTACTTACCGTCCCATTATTCTTCTCTGCTATTCCCAGTGATGGTGAGGAAGGTGATGCTGACACTGAAAGTTAATAAGAGGGAATAAGATGACCAATTGAAGATAAACTACACTTTGAATGTGCTGAATGAGGTTGCTTGCACATTGGGATCCATTTCACGTTCATAGTTTGTCTGACTGAGTCACTTTTTGTTTGTCTGTGTGTATTGTAAGGTTCACATCTTAGGTAATGACTGGCCTTTTCCAGGAGGCTCTGAAGCGATAGCAGTGCATGTGCATGAACCAGGCATCTGAAAGTTTCCTGGGAGACGGACAGTGAAAGCAAATACCCAACCCATTCTCTTGCTCACCAACATGATTTAGCACCGAGGGACTCGGTTTACCAGTAAACAACTTTTAGAAGGAAAATCTCAACTTGGTGGGGACCTGGAGGAACTTGGAAAATGTCAGTGTTGTCTCTTGTAAGAGAAAATCAGCATCTAGGATGGAAGTACTGGAGCTTGCAGGAAACCAATAGAAACAGGACTACAATACAGAGTTGCCAGCCCTGGCAATATTTTTGTTTTCCCTAAAGTGCTAATTCCAGGAGTCAAGTGATTACAATGACAATCTAAGGTTTTGTGGAAAATAGAATGCTTTTGTGATGGAAGAAGAAAATGTGAACTTATGATCTGTGAAAGAATGAAACTCAGAAAGCAACTAAAAAGAACTGCAAATGCTTTTTTGGGGTTTTTTTTTTAATTCTCTATTATTTTTAAGCCAAGCTCCTGATATTTTACAGGGCCTGCTTCATGCTTTTTGAATACTTAGGGTGGCAGTGCTGAGCACCTTGAGACTAATGTGGAATCTGGGTATCTGTAAGAGTTTTATATGTACAGGAATAAGAAAACTAAATTTTGAGCTAAAAGATTGGCTCATAATAATGAGGTGTGGAGTCCCGAACTTGCGGTTTTTTTGCAGTATGGAGCACCATCATCTGAGCCCCCACTGCATACATGAACAAAATGAGCTGGGCTGATACAATCACCACATCATTATCTGCTCAGTCTGTACAGTGCCAGGATATAAAATAAAGCTGGGGCATCCTATCCCTGCAGGGAAAATAGGGTAAAAGTGATAGGGTAAAAGTGGTTCTCCTTTTCTTGACAGAAAGGTGGGCCCTTTTTTGAGATGTTTAGATTCAGCTAGTTTAATTAGGAGCTCAGGTGGATGGCAAATTACTCTGGGTTTGGATAGATCGCTCTAGTGCATCACATGCACTAGATGTTGAGCATAGTAAGTGCATGCATCTTCTCCAGTTAAAGCTTGTGAAGTCAGAAGATAGTTGAGCGGACACAATATTTTTTCCACACCAAAATACTTAGCAAATGATAAGTAGCTTTTTAGTGGCATTGAACTTGAAAAAATGCAGTGCCTGGAAAGCTGTTTAAATGTTTGCAGTCTGGCTAAAATGGTCAGAGGTGATAATTGTTTGGTTCCATTGTTTCCGACCCCATTTCTCTGACTGATTCTCTCCCAGGCAGGAATGGCGAGTCCGGACAACCCTGAGCAGCTGATAATTGCCCTGGAACCTGAGGCTGCCTCCATCTACTGCAGAAAGCTCCGCCTGCACCAGATGATAGACCTGAGCAGCAGAGCCCCTGTCAATGGTTACAACCCAAGTGACACTGTTGGAGCTGGATTTACACAGGGTACCTCTTCTATTAACTGGATTCAGTTTGCTGCCTTTTGGCTACAGCTGTTCTTGGTCATTAGGGCTGTCTACCTACCGGATTCTGTAGACTATCTTCACTTTGTTGCATTATCGTAATGTGTGAGGCCAGCATTATTTTGCTCAATACATTATTTGACATATATTTTACTTTAATTTGACAAGTTTCAGCACTGATGAAGAAACGTTAGTGAGCAGGTTCAATTTTCAGCCTTGTTGACTTCATTGGGACCTGGGGGGGTACTACCCAGGGTTTAAGGGAGGGGCAGGCAGGGAAGGAGCTGGTGCGGAGCACGGGGGAGAGCAGCCCCTCCCTTGCCCTGTGGGCGGTGCTCCCTGGTGCAGCCACTCGCAGCTCATGTGGGGCTGTCCTGAGCAGGCACAGGTGGGGGCCAGGGCAGAGAGGTGGCAGATGTTTGCAGCTGGCCCAGGTTCTGGGTAGCTGCTGACAGCTACAGAGCCCGGGCTGGGGCTTCGGGTGGGGGGTATGGGGCAGCAGGGCTGGGGGGCAAGGGGCACAAGCGGGGCATCCTGCCACTTACCTCCTGCCCTCACTCTGTTTTGAGCAGGCACAGGCAGCCCCAGGCAGGCTGTGAGTGGCTGCAGCGTGGGGTGCTGGGCAAGGGGTGGACAGGGGGCTGCTTTTCCTATGCTTAGCACCAGCTTGTAACCCACCCCTAGTGCCAGCCTGGGCCCCATGCCGGCTCCGGGCTCACTCGTCGGGGCTGTGCTGTGGCAGGAGCAGCTGTGGTCCCCCTGCTTGCAGTGCCGGGCAGTATTTACCACTGCGCTGTGCTGCCCAACGCACGAGCTCTGGGCAGGCAGCAGCAGCAAACACTGCCCAGCGTGGCAAGTGGGGGTTGCAGCAGCTGCTGGCACCAGGCGCAGCCCTGACGGGCGAGCCAGGAGCCAGTGCAGGGCTGGGTTACAAGCTGGGGCTGAGTGCAGAAAAAACGGCCCCTCACCCGCCCTGCGGCTGGTGCCCTGCACTGCAGCTGCTCACAGCCTGTGTGGGGCTGCCTGTGCCTGCTCAAAACAAAATGAGGGCAGGGGGTACTTGGCAGGGTGCCCTGCTTGTGCCTGCTCAGGACAGTCCCGTGCGGGCTGAGAGCGGCTGCAGTAGGGAGCACCGACCATGGGGCAGGGGAGGGGCTGCTTTTCTCCAGGCTCCTTCCCTGTCCGTCCCCCAACCCCCCTTACCTGAGCTTCCCCCACCAGGGCAGCCACGTAGACCCAGGCCACAAGCCCTGTTGGGGCTTCTGGCTGGGATGCGGGGTCAGGCAGGTCCTGCTGTTGCGGGAGCCCGCTAGGCTTCGCCTGGGTCCTACTGCCCCTGGTTCCTGTCTTTTTTGATAGGAACCAAAGACGAAGAAATACTAATTTTCTAAATTTTTTTAGGGGCCCCGCAGGCTGGATCCAGCTCGCAGGCTGTATTTTGCCCACCCCTGGTTTAAGGTGAAGTAGAGGCACAGTGTGAGCAGAATCAGGGTCTTACTGATTAATGTTAAGGTTTCCAAGTGCAGATAAATAGTTTGCTATTGTGAGTAAACTGATTTGCATTAAATTAGATGTCATATTAAAGCGCTGGGACTGAATTTGTAATTAGACCTTTGAAGCTTCCAAAATGTTTTACTAGGAGTTGGGCAGTTGGTGAATTCTTTTGGTTCATAATAACATTGGTCAGCATGAAGCAGCATTTGCCGATAGTTAACAAACAGTGATGTTTCATACAGATCAGCGTTCCTGTGTACAGAGAATGTAAATAGGGAAGCTCTCACTTATCCTGGTGGGGGGATATGTTTGTATGTAAACTGCATACACTGGCTTTTTACTAGGTGCCATGGTGGGTTTGCTGCAGGCTGATTTACCATGCAAAGCAATTCTATGCTGATGGAAATGGATGCAGCTGCATTCACCGCAGTGGAATCGGGGAATTCACGTCAGCAGAGAATTTGCCAACAGACTGTATTTTCCAGTGGAAATCAGTAAAGGCAAATTGAGGAGTCAGCTAATAAACTCTTTAGAGAGATTGTGTTTCTCCCTATATTTATTGAAAGACACTTCTTTAGCTAAAACTGTGTATGCCCCAATTTGTCCCTAGAATTTCAAAAATTATTAAAATTCAGAATCCTTTGTAATAAAATAGCAGATATCAGCAATGTAGATGGCAATTTCACCATCTCGGAGTTTAATTCTGTCTGTGCAGTTTAGAGCCCAATAGGGACTGTAAGGAGACATTTGCAAAACAAAATTTTACAGCAGCTGAAAAATTATATTTTATTTTGTTTATTTTCCTCTCTGTTTCTCCTACGTCTTTAATCCTGATCCTCCCTCTCCTTTACTTTGGCTTCTTTCCTCCTGTGCTTTCTTGTCTTGTAACTGTGTGTTCCCTGAACACATCCCAACTCACCCATTTTCTTTGGCGCTTCCGAGAGACTGCTACTGGAGCTGCCTCTCTGATTAGAGCAAGACTCCTCTCAGTCGCAGGATTCATGCTGAGTACCTGGTATGGGAATTGGGGAGGAATTTACTAGGCCTGTGGGTTGGTTGGATTGGGATTTTGTTCAGTAGCACTGCAAGTCAAAACCAGCCCCTTCAGAAATCCTGCATCAGTTGCTTTGCTTGGGGGTGCCTCTCGATGGACCGGCAAGGCAGAATCCTCACTACAGTGTTTCAGCTAAAGACCTCCATAGGGCATTGAAGCCTGAGTTGCTGCACACCACTGGGGAAGGGATTTTGGCTGCTGCAGCTAGGCTGAAGGCTGGATTGTGTCTTTGCATCTACCTTTGCCCCCTATCTATGTTCAGGCTTATGCAGCCATGCAGAGTGCAGCCGTTGCTGCATGTAGGACACGACCCCCTGTGTGGACTCTCCACATTCAGTCCTCCTCTGCATAGCAGGGCTGCTCCAGTTCCCAGTGAGCAGGGGAACTCCCCTTACTTAGGCCGACAGTGGATTTGTCCCTGTGAAAATATCTTATCCAACAAAAGTACTTCCTGTGGTTGGTCAGAAGGAGCCTTGAGGCAAGGCAAAATCTGTTCACAAAATAGTGGTATTCTATTAAACTGTCAGAAGTACTTTTACAGTCCTCTTTCTTGCCTTAATAAGGTAAAAGCTATTGTAGATTTAAAAAAAAAGGATTTAATGCAGTCAGATGTAATGAAAACAAAGCTTTGAGCGAATTAATTTGGGGTTTCGATCTAAAATTTAATAAAGGCATGGCAGGGACCCAAGAAAAGCTGAGAAAAGATCAAGAAAGAAAGCCCTTTCAACATAAACAGAGAGAAGCACTCCAAGGACCATGTTAGTGCCGTGCAGTCAAAACAAAAGTTTTGCTATTCATAGAAGTGAAAATAAATTTGCTTTAGGAGAGGAAGCCAAGTCTAGTGTTAAAGAGGAGGAGGGGTGTGGTGCCCCCTTGGGTGTCCACTGAAGTCAGCTGGAAGACTTGACGTGAGGTGTGGATCAGGCCCCAGCTGTGGATGCTGTTCTGTGTTCTGTCATTGACCACTGTGTCTCGTGTGTGTGTGTGTGTGCGCGTGTGCACACGCATGTGCTCTCCAGCCTGTACAGTGAAGATAAAGCTATTTGTCTCTGTCGCAGAAATGCTGAGGCATCATTCTTTTGCCTGTCTGAGCCCTTTGGTATCGGTCAGGTGAAAGATGCTGTAGAAACAGGAAGAGTTATTAGCTACTAAAATGTAATTAGCATCTTATGAGTTATAGCTAGTTTCATATGCTATTTTTTTTCTTTGGATGACATTGTATTTTATATATCACGGGATGCATTTACATTCTCCTGTGTTATTTTACGTAGCTGACCTTTAAGGTTATGTGAAAACTGCCTACGAAATTTATTTTGTAGGTGCCTGCCTGAGCAAGTTAGAAATAGGTTTAGATTTAGAAATTTAGGAGTAGAGACTCCTTTTTTGCTCTGTATTTTCTTAACAAACCATATCGCATATTTTAAATGTCTACATAGAAATTAATTTCCCTAAGAGAAATTAATGCTATGGCAATATGCTACTAGATTATACTGTGCTTCCTGTGTATTCCTCTGTGCCAGCAGGCGCATGTCCACAGCGGGCCCAGTCGTACAGTCCTCCATCAAGCTAAACTCTGATTGGACCCTGGTGGGAGTTTTGCCCAAGTCAGGACAGCAGGAGTAGGTCCCACTGTGTAGTTTCATAAAGCTGACAAGAAACAAGATTTTGAGATTTAATAACCAAAAAAGAGTTCTTAATCTGCCCCTGTAACTTATGTGTGAAATTCTCCTGTGTAGATTGTTCTGGAGGTCAAGCTTCTTGTTCACATGTGCCTTTCTGGCCTTAAAAACTTAGGAGATCTATAAACTAATGATTTGGGTTGGTCAATTTGAGACTTGTTGGCAAGGGCGAGGGGGGAAGATGCAATACTGAATATTCCCTTCCACTTTTGAAAACTGGGACTCTTCAAAACCACTCAAGTTGAGCAGCCCAAACCACTAGTCACTTTTAATAATCCTGGCTAAGTTATCTTCAATTCCTAGACAAATCTTAAACCAATTTTTGATTCTGTTGTTAATCAAGCGTGCCACCTAGTGGCAAAAATTTAGTTTGAAACTTTGCAAAACCAAGGAATGTCTTTCCTTTACATTACATTCTGTTCATTAAGATGTAGTAAATATATACCATAAAGAGATTTAAAACTAGATTATTATTTGGAATCCAATTATTGTAAGTAAAGAATAAAATATCTGAAAAGTTGCTGGGGTGGGGGTCTTTCCAATACCAATTTTATAAAGTTCCTAGTTCCAATGCAGCAATTTTTGTTCATCTGTTTTGTTACTAAATGATGCATACAAAGCTCTCATCCTGCTTGCATTCACTTCCTGCGGTGTATGCTATTAGCTTATTCATGCTTTCTTATACTTAGTCATTTTCTCTCTGTCAACGACTAGCTAAGGAACACATACGTCGTAATCGGCAGAGCCGCACCTTTTTGGTGGAAAATGTCATAGGAGAGATCTGGTCCGAATTGGAGGAAGGTAGCGTCCTTTCCTGAATGAACTTTGCTCTTGCTGGTTTTATATTGCTGGCAAAAAATGCATTTCCTGCAAATTTGCTATGCCCTTTTAGCATTCTCCAAGTAACTGTAATTGAAGGAACACGCAAGTGCATGCACTGCTCCTAGTCTGCAAGGCTGAGTTACCACTTTGCATGCTACCGACAAATAGATTTTATTAAGGAAATGGGTTAATCAAGGAATCGAGGCTTTTCAGAATACAAGCCAGAGCCCAGTGCGCTCAGAATAGACCGTATAAATGAACTGGCCTATTTTTCTACTAACCCAAAGGAATGTACTCAGGTGGCATGCACCATTCCACCTATCCTGAAGTCGCATTCTTTCCATGTCTCTGCTTAAACATGTAACATTCAGCATGCAAGCTTCACATCTGTTATCACTGCCAATTATATCGCTATGAACTACTAATTATCAAGCCATCAGTGCAGATGTTCATGTGCTTCTAGTCATGATGACATTGTTGCCCACAAGAACCTTAAGTAGCATTAGACTGTTGTATTTACACTGGTGCAAGTGATGCATGCTTGTTCCTGTTGCCAAATAGGTGACCGTTACATAGTGGTTGACAGTGGAGGAGGCACAGTGGATCTGACTGTCCATCAGATCAGGCTACCTGAAGGACACTTGAAGGAACTGTACAAGGCAACTGGTAAAATTACATGCTTCACTACTCACTTCCCTTGTGAAATATTATGACCTTTTATCCTAACTGGCAGTAATGATGCTGTGCTGCTTTATTATCTACATAGATTAATTAATAGTTCTTTCTCTGTTATGGCCAGCATTAAAAGAGTTCTTGTTATTTTTGAGTTAAATTATTTTATGTTTAAATTTGCTTTGAGAAAAATTAATCCTCCTTTGTGAAGATAAGAAAACAGTTTATTTCCCATTTAATCTTCAAGGTCATCTCTAGGCCTGGGTGACCTGGATACCTGCTTTTAGTAGTCGCTGTATCTTATAATCAAGGACACCATCATTATGTTCTTTCTGTTTCTAACAATGTATTTAGCATATGTTTAGTAGCAACAGTGTGATCTGCATAGGTATGTGAAGAACTTGTGTTCTACTGGACAATGCCGATTGTTAACCATGTGTTTTGTTTGCAACACAGGTGGGCCACATGGTTCTTTAGGCGTGGACTACGAGTTTGAAAAACTCCTTTGTAAAATATTTGGAGAGGATTTTATTGAACAATTTAAGATCAAGCGCCCTGCTGCCTGGGTAGATCTGATGATAGCCTTTGAGTCTCGTAAAAGGGCAGCAGCCCCAGACAGGACCAATCCATTGAATATCACATTGCCATTTTCCTTCATTGACTATTATAAGAAATTTCGAGGTCACAGTGTAGAACATGCCTTAAGGAAAAGCAAGTAAGTATATAGTTGCAAAATTAACCACTTGGTACTGCAAGGAATAATAATTAAAAAATACTAATTACATGTAGATGAATTGATCACAGGGAAAATGTAATGTTATGGTAGAAAAAAATCATACTGCCCCATGTACAGTTACCAGAATGGAAAGTTACAGCCCTTTTTAATTTTCACAGGGTTGAATGTGGAACCCTGTGTTGGGCACCTAGGTTCTCTGTACAGTGCCAAAGGAGTGCAAGGCACCTCAGGATGCAACCCAGAACAGCCACAAGGCTTAGCAGGGAGCTATCAAAAGGCAGCAAGCAAAGCATACTGCTGGGTAGAGAAGGGAAGCACTGTGGACAGAGCAGGCCTAACATCCCATCCCTCAGGCACCTCATTCAAGATTGCATCTCTTTCCTATGATCTCCTGCTGATTGTAGTGCTTAATCTCTTTTTTTCAAAGAGCTGGTTAGTCTCATTCTTTCCTCTTAGCATGGTGCTGGGGATGCACTCCTCCCCTCACTGCTTTTTATGTAACAACTAGGGCTGTGCAAAGCTTCAGGTGCTGATTCGATTCAGAGGAGATTTGGCCTGATTCGGCAGCCAAATCTCCAAATCCAAATTGAATCAGGAGACCAATAAAAAGTTCCAAATTGATTCGAAGCTCTGCAAATCAATTTGGAGAGCTTTGGTGATTCAGGCAGTCCCTGCTTGCTGCCACAGGGAGCTGGACCTGAACTCCATGCTGATAAGTAGCGGGTGGAGGAGTGGGGGCTGGAGGAAAGGGGAGGAGACTATAGGGACCCCCACCAGGCCCCATCCCCTACCTGCTCCGCCAGCCCCTCTGAGCACCCCCCAACCCCTGCCCACTATCCCAACCCCCCCGTGGCTGCCCTGCCCACCCCAGCAGTGGCCTCA